CTAAGACAGGACGGTGGTTTTCATGAGAGCTGGAAAATGGTTTTGACATAGAAATGCCTGGAAGGTTTCCACAGATTTGCTTGCTCTATTTTTAAAGTGTTACAAAGAAGTTTTATGCTTCAGACTACATGAAAGTATCCTCTGTCGTTGCTGTCACAACTCATACTGACTATGACTTCCTGTTCATTAACATTTTTGTAAGACCTGCTTTTTTGTGAATACGGAAATGAGACTCAAAAACACTGGCATCAGAAAACTGAAACCACGCTTTAAAAAATGAAGTGATTCAAGATGGCAGATGAACAAAGTAAAAAATTAACAGCACTAAATCTATTATAGTCGAACTTTTATGAAAAAAGTGTTGTGACAGTTAAGCATACATGATAACAGGAGTAAACTGTAAGATGCATGCAAAATCATTTTTAGGGAACTGTCCATTCAGCACCACAAAACTATAACAGAAGGAAAATAAAGTGGTATGTTGGTCATTATTAGCTGTTAGCTTTTATACAAGTATGGACACGAGGTGTTTCAGAAGTAACAACAAAGTGCACCACAGAACTGCAGAAGATTTGTTTTGGGTCATTTGGAAAGTTTTATCTTTCATCTTCCCAACTTAGACTTACTGTATCTGACCTGCAATTTAAAAAAAGAAAGAAAGAAAGATAAACACAAACTGAATTTTGAATTTGTTTTTGTCAAAAGAAGTTGAAGTGTCCTAATTCTTTCACGGATAACAGGTTTCCCATTTTACATGATTGCTAGAAGCCGAATTTGTTTACAAAGGAACATTTTCTTTCTTCCTGCTTATCTCTATCCATGCAGTAAGTTTTGGTTTTAGTCCTGAAGTAGTCAAGATATGCCTTCACTCACGTACTACGAGGTAAATTTTCACAACAGTGAAAAATGATAGACATCTCAATACCTAGAACAAAAAATCAAATCTGTCTGTCTAGATATTTCCAGCTTTCTGCTAAGCTAGAACCCAAGTTAATCTTTTTAATCACAAAAGAAAAACGTTAAATTGCTGGGTGGCCCAACCTTTTTGTAATTCACATGTATGACCTATTTGCGCTGTGAAAACAAACCTAAGAGGTAAGGACTGTGGACCTTTGACACCAAACATATCAGGGTTTGACCCATGCCTCACATGATGATTGTTTGCGTGCGTTCTGACTTCATCTGTAGCCACAGATTTACCATCAGTGTTAATCTGAACGGACAATATTGGGTTAAATTGTGAACTCTGACATCAAACAGAGATGTTTGACCCAGGTTTAAGACTTGGGTGCTACTAGGCTTAGTTTCAGGCTGAACTCAATTTCCTGTTAATGGTCAAACCATTTGTACTGACATTTTGTCTTTTGTAGCCTTTATTCATCTAGAGAAAAACCAAACATTTTTTGTAAAACATTTTTTTCAAGTGGTTTTTCTTATGTTGGTGATGATCTTTATTCTCAAATCTTAAAAGGATTTTAATTAAATTAATTTTTCATTGTGACCTTTTGTAGAATATATTCATTAGATGATACATAAGCCATTCCGTCCTCATATAAATTTGATTAGAGGAGAACCATGCTGCGAGGGTAACATCTACAAACCAATAAAAGGTTAAAGTCAGCCCACATAAATCAACTTACCTTAAATTTTTTTAATGTGATGGCCATGGTCATGCCATAGGACAGTGATCCCACCAAATCTACAACAGAATGGCTGGGAAAAAAATCAACAAGTTGCTTGATTCTTTGACGTTTTTAGTCAAACTTCAGGCCTCAGCATGATTTAAATGCTGTGGCAGGACACTTAGGGAGATTTGCATAAATGAATATCTGCAGACCTCAATCAAATGAAGCAGCATTATAAAAAAGGTCCAAAATCCCACCATGATGTAAGAGATTGATAAAGTCGTACACAAATGATTTTTTTCCAATTACTGCTGCAAAAGGTGGTTCTACAAGCTCCTGGCTTTCATATACAAGCACTGATACGCTTTGCCTAAATGATGGGAAATTTGTCATAGGCATCTAACTTTTCGTGAATAACTTCTTGTTCATTAAAAACATTAAAATTAAAATGCTAAAAAATCATTTAAAGGTCAACTTCAGTCTTGCCGTCTGCAGAGAGTCTCTATTCACATGAAATGATCTCTCAGACCCAAAAATGTGCACATAAGAGATACAGATGCACATGTGCAACACAAGCACAGACTGGAATCTGTTGGCTCAGCTGCTGATGAATGATGTGGAAGAAAGTGTGTTTGCAATGCTAGCCAGATAGTTACCATCCAGTTGGGATTAGGTGGTCATTACAGGATTACTCCCATCAGAGACCCCAATGCTGTTGATGCACATGAAAATCATTGATTAGCGCATAGTGTCTTTGGCGTAGCACACCTGCAAAAACACAGATGTGTACATGTTTTCTGCTATTTTCACATGCATGTGCTTTCTCTCTGGTCTTTATTTCTTTATAGCTGCAGTTCTTAGATAGAGACACACCCTCACCCAACATTTCTTTCATGTTGAACTATAAAACTTCTGAGGTCACTAAGAGAGGCGGAGGGGGAGAATTTGCATGCCAAAGTGGAAATTTGCTCTTTTGCAGAACAGTTTGCGGTCAGCTTTCTCTCTGTTTGTGCTTCCAAATTATTTGTTCTCACTTGTTCTGTAGAAGCCGATAGATTTTGTGCATGTTAGAGCGTGAAGTGGATCGGCACAGTTAAGGGGTTTTGTGGGGTTTTTTTGGATCTAATTAGACCTGGTTGGGTGGGTGTACTTAGAAACACAAGCTGCTTAATCAACCGCCTCACCCATTAAACAGTTCAACAGAGACTCAAACAATGAAGCTGCAGACCATAACGTCTAATGTCTTATCATCCATGTGTGTTTTCAATTTTCTTGCCTGTGTGAGCAGATTTAGCAATTAAAGGAAATTAGCCACTTTTGACTAATATACAAAACAACATACTTAAGATATGAAAAAGACACCAAACTACCGATTCTAGTCGTTAAGAGATTTAAGGTATTTTAGCCAAAGTCAGTTCTTTTTTATTGCATTAATTTGTTTTTAGCACACACCGAAAGCCCGGTGCGTGATCTAATGGATTAATTTAAATGTAAAGTGTGATTTTATAAAAAGATATAGTAAAAACTTTTCAGCTATTTGCAGCACACACAGACACCCATCTGCCACACACACACCCACACACATACTACCAGAGTCTCTCTTTCTTAAGCCCTAGACGATGGACTGTCTGATTAGAACTTCTCTCTGGAGTCTGTGAACATGCGCAGTCTTTAGGGAGCAGTCTGTAGTCTCCACCACATACATGCAAAGACAGATTCATCCACACACGTAAACACTGGCAGATATTCTAAGAGGTAGCTCTTGTGTGTGCTTCCATACGCACGCACACACAGTGAGATACCAGGCTGTAGTCTCCAGTCTGAAAAACCCTCTCCATTCTCATGGAGATAAGAAGCGTGTCTCTTTGTTGGCAGACGCCCGTACCGTTATCACCTTATCAGAAAGCCAATCCAGCGAAGGCAGCGCTGCAGAGTGTGTGTGTGCATGTGTGTGAGTGTCTGTGTGTCTGTGGTTGCAAGGGCCCACCCTTGACTCTAGTTAAGTGGGGGTCCTTTGTCATGCAGCAGGTGCTGTTGTCAGTCAATTTGTCTTAATTTTAAAGACCCATGGGAGTTGCAGTGTATTTGCATCACTCTGTTAAAACACAGGCTGATTGGGTAAACGTTAGTTAATCCTCATTCTTACTCCTAATGGACTTAAAATACAACCCATCTAAAGTTGTCTGAGAGAATCTGTGGCCCATTAACATTTTGAACAGCACCATTGTCTTTGCGTGTGTCTACATGGCTAAATCCCTTCTTCTTCTTTATTCTCTTTGCAGTTTGTAAACAACAAAACTGCATCTAGGCCACCACCTGTGGGAAAGCTGCTCCAGTCAGTCCTCTCTACAACATTGTGGTCACAGATTCACTTTATAATTTTTATTTTCATATTTTTCGGCTCCTGTTGTCAGACAGCAGAAAAACAATTATCCTGGCACGGATCCGCTGCCACTCTGATCTCATCTTTGTTTTATAGCATTAGCATCATCATCTTAAAGCAACATCAGCATAACCCCGTATTATTGTAATAGCTACACTGAGTGTTTGACTGAACTGGTATTTAAAATGATAGATGCTGGATGTTTTTTTCACATTAATGCTCTCTAGTACTATTATGTCATTATTTTGGGGGTTCCTTATACCCACTAAACCATCAGGGGTTTTAGGATTTTTCTAACAATATAAGTGCAACTAACTTTGTTAAATGAATAATATAAGTGCAACTAATAGTTTCACTTATATCGACATGGTTTTGCAAAACAATACAATCACTACTTTTGCTCGTCTTCTGTTTTATTTCTAATCCGTCTCATTCATTGCATTTAATAATTTAACAGTCTTAAACAACTGTGCCTGCAGTTTAATTCCTCTGGCTGCAGGCCCCTTGTTGACTGCAGCCACATGGATGGATTTAGGACTGTTTTTTGATCTTAATTCAAAAGTGAGGATGGAAAGAGCTGCCTTCTTGCCTAAAATCAAGGGTTTAAACTTGCTATGATGCCAAGATTGGCCTTCATGAGTTAGTTGAAGTGAGAATAAATAAGTGACAATTCAATTTAGACTCAGCTTTGCTATTAATTAAGACTTTTTGGACCTAAGAGTCAAATCAAGCTTAAATTTACTATTTGTGACCTTCTGATCTTTCAGACCAAACCTCTAGCCATCTTTTTTATTACCCTTCTCTGATGCTTGGGTCACGGTGACAGCAGGCTTCTACAGGTCTTCCCAGGCTTCCTTTGTCACTCTCAACTTCGGCATCACTTTGGCTGAGACCTGATACTGAATGTGATGAATGTAATGTTTTTGAATAAAGAAGTAGAGATATTAAATCATATGTAAGGAAATTTACATATTTTTTATTTTTTTCTCTAGAAAAAGAGAAGAAAGAGGTGTCCAAGGAACCATCAGAGGCGAGCGTAAAAGAAGAAGAGCCGATCAAGGAGACAAAAAAGGAGAAGAAGGAGTCATCCAAGGAGAAGAAGGACTCCAAAAGGGAGTCAACTAAAGAGCCCAAAGAGGAGGCAAAGAAGGAGTCCAAGAAGGAATCATCTTCTTCCAAGGAGAAGAAGGAGTCATCAAAGGAGAAGAAAGAGAAGGAAAAAGAGAAGGAAGGGAAGGAGGCAGGAGACAAAAAAGTGTCCAGGAGATCATCAGTTAAAGTGAAAGAGAAGAAGAAGGAGCCAGAGGCTGCGGAGGGTTAATAGAAACAGTGCGATAACATAATATGCACACACATACAGAAAGAAAGCATGTCTAAACAGCATATACAGATACAATATGCACATCTGGGGGCTCGTACATATAAATATACATGTGTTTATATACAGTTCACATTTAAACATATACAAAGCCATGTAATTCAATCGGACACAAATACACATTTATATTCAGTATACACAATAAATACAGTAAATCGACTCGATCAAGGTCACATGTCTTAGCAGCAAAACAGTTTCCTCCTATTGGGATATTTACATGTTCTAGTAATAGCTGATCTCAAAAACACACACACTCTGCTGATCCACCACATCCAGTAGTTTTACTGTACCCACGGAGAGTGAGGAGGAAGGCAAAGTTGTCCTCCTCTCAGACATTTTGCTGACTTTCTCCTTCCGCCTCAGCAGCAATTGAACCCACAGCCCAGTACCTCCCTAATCCCCAACCACGCCCCGGCCCACGCTTACTTCTGGCTGTGACGTCGCACCCGCCTTGTCGCCCCCTCGCATGGCACCAGGCCTTGCCTGAGCCTCCCCCGTCTGTCCACTAAGAATAAACCGCCTGAGACGTTCAGCCATCCTGCTGCTTCCGGGTAAATCAAGGCCACATCCTACATTTGGTTCCGTCGCCACCCCCTCCGACCTGAGGTTTTATTTTTTTAAAGCTGGGATACTCAAGGACATGCGGTGGCTGATGGACACATAATTGTTGCTGCGGGGTCGAACCTGAGACTGTTTTTGTATGATGGAAACCAACAGGGTGTTTCCTGAAAAAGCGGCGTGGCAGTCCAGAGTCTACACGGCCAGTTTAATACTCCAGCCTTTTCTGCTCATCCTTAAATAGTCAGGAACATTGTGAAGGGCAGGCTGGTTTTAACAGCTGCGTACAGCAATGTTATCGCAAGATGTTTGCACCAGAGCAAGAAATGTCTTACTGCACTGTACTAAATGATGTCAAAGAGTTAGTTCATTTACAGTAGAGCAACACTGCATATTGTCTTACTTTGGGTCGTGTCTTGTCTTTGTAAAGTAGATGTGTGTGTGTGTGAGTGCGGAGGGGTTTCCAAAGATGTCCGACAGCACTTCTGTCTAAGCGCATAGGTCCCTTTACATTTCATAGTCAGAAACATCTTCTCTTTACTCTAAACACCACAAATGCAACCATGTTCAAACATTTTTGAATTATCGAGTCAAAAAGTATGCATTATTTAGGCACCAGGAGAGGGAAGTTTGAAAAGAATATACAATATAAATAGAGTTAGCCAGTCCTCATAAAAAGACGCAAAATAAGATAATTACAGAGGCTCTTTGGTGAGTTTATCATACTGGAACTGGCATGTACAGACTGGTGAGTTTATTGGTCAGCTTAGAATTTAAATGTCTGTACTGGCTGATCAAATTTACAGCATACTGTATGTGCAACACTGAGCTTGAAGGGTGGAGATGCGAATCTGTCTGGACAGTTGAATATAAACCAAAAAGCCGTTCACTGAGTTTTTTCCCCAGACGAAACAATCACTACTTGTTAAAACATATAGTTGCGTCCCTGGTTTAGAGATTTATAAAACAAATATGTGATATTATATTGTAATATATAATTTTGGACACACTCACTCATACAAATCCACTTAAAACGCATAAATTTAATAGCTTTGAACTATATTTAAGTCAGAATTGAAGCTTATAGACTTCAGCCATATGATCTGTGCCAGCAGCAATCCCAGCGGCTCTGCACTCCTCTACAAGTCAACTGTAAGCTTCATGTCTTTATGTTTAGTTTCAGCCCTTCTGTCTGCTGGGAAATTTATATTTAGTTTGTATTGTGTAACAGAGTCCCTGTTTGCAGCAGTGCCTACGGCTACTGCTGACTGATCTGATCAAAAAATGACATAGTATGGGTGTATATCTTATTTTTGTATGTAAATATTTTAAAATGTAAACTTTGAGCAGAGGTAAAAACGGATCAGCCGAAACCAGCATCAGCTCATCCTTGTCAAGAAGGACAATTAGGTTAAGTTTGTGCTGTTATAAAGGGTTCCCAGTGGACACAAGGTACTACATGGCAATGTTTTTGAATACCTTGAATGTTTATAATGTACATTAGGTTTTGTAATTGTTGTATTAGTGGTGCAGATTTACCAAGCTCTCGTTCCGAGGTTGCTTTTTGTAGCCACAGTTCATTTAAAAAAGAAAGTTTCTGTACTCCAGAATAAGTCACGACTTTGTCATTAGTCTGCAGCAGGTGCAAGATCACCAACAATGTGAATGAAATAAACCATGTTTATGAATGTTTACTAATAAAAGTAGTCAGCTGTAAGTTATCAAAGGTAGTGCTGTAATTGTGTTTGGTGAACTTTTAATGTTTATACATGCGGTGTGATTTCCGTCTACAGTGCCCCCTCTCTATAATGCCGTTCACCTTCCGCGCTCTTGCTGTTTCGCGGATTTTTTTTGTGTGCAATTTTGCATGCTTTTTTTACAGCGCATTGTGTTCTGCGTCCTCATTGGCTGTAGACCACTGTCAATCAGTCTCCTCCATGCCATGTCTCCTGTACAGTACAGAATGCGTTCAGCTTGTCGAATTTACATAAATCTGCGATCACTAGCAGTATGACTCTGAAGTGCTGTACTGCATATTTATAAATTTCCCCCCCAACAAACACAACAATGTAGATGAAACATTTTGCACCTGCAGTAGCACCCAAAAGGCAGAGGAAGATGCTAACTATCTGTGATGGACCGAGCAGCGAAGGAAAACTTAATTGGTTAAATCATGCAAAAAGAATCAAAATCTTGGGCCCATAAAAGAGGTCAAAATAACAGAACTCTACTCAAAGTTGACAACAATACTGATTAATTCTGAACCAAACCAGTTATTCATTGTCCTGTAAATTAATTCCTATATTTAAAGAAAGACAAATGTGAACGCAATGTTATGTATAAGCCTCTACACTAACATGGTGGATATTACCAGCGTGTGGCTGTAAGTGCAGCCATCACACTATCGCACAACAAGCTGGACTTCTGGACATGCTAAAGGAAGGTAGGAGTTACTGTATTTTTCAGATTATAAGGCGCATTAAGCGAAACAAAAAAGCCAGATAAGTCAAACTTTACTCAACTCATTCTTCTTGCTTCCTTCACTTCCGTACCATTGATTCATTAATGTTGTATTCTCTTACAGCTGCTCCATTGCCATGTTCGGGACCTGAAAACAGGGTTTGATCTTTAGTTTCATTCTATAATACTGGACTTATTTTTCTACAAAGGTTTAAACTTTAAAAGTGTTTAAACAAGAGAGAAAAGTGTGCACATGTTCATGCCTGTCTGAGAAAACTGTATAAAGTCTGTAGTGAGGGGTTTGACAGCCGTAAAACATCTATAATAATTGTAAAAAATAAAGTTGGCTACTTTGCGGATATCACCTATCGCGGGTTATTTTTAGAATGATAAACAAGGGACCACTGTATATTTGTCTTTGCTCTCCTTGTGCAGTAATATGGTCAAGACATGTCACTGAGCTGAATTCTTCTTTGCAGAAACACAACAACAGTCATTTTTCTTCCTGCAAGGAGAAGTTCTCCACTACTCTTCCTTTGGTGCTGAAGCTGTAAGTAAATCATAACTGTTAGAAATTTCCTGGATTTCAACACCAACTTTTTTTCAGCTTCACAATATTTAATGACTTTTTAGTATAAAACAGCACATTTAAAAAAACGAAGAAAGTTCCCATTTCCTCAGAAAAATAATACCAGTTTCAATAGCATGTCACAGCTTTTCATCGGTCAGACATCCAACGTCATTACAAAGATATACACTGACATGGCTTCTTCATTCAACCTTTCTTTCTTTGGTGTGGTATGGTAGACCATGTGAGATGGGTTTGTCGGTACAAAGGCTTCAAAACTGACTGTGATTCAGACTTCTGGTTCAATTAGCAGCTCATGTTCATTCTAATAATGTTGCAAACATTAGATAGTTTCCACATTTTACAAAGGAATCCAGTGGGGTCAGTCATGCCACAGTTTGGCACCATTTCTAAATTACCCCAGGCATCTTTTTCTGCATTCTGTATTTCTGCATATCAGATAACATACATACATAACAAGTTGTTTTATTTTAATTTAGAGGTCTATAGCTATGGTGTAATTATTACCACTTTTTTAATATACAGTGATGCCTAATAATAGATGGATACAATCTAAATTAAATCACAACTATCACACAGAAAACTCACATCCATTTTTTATGATAGTTCTGTGACTAATACCCATTATGGACCCCTTTTGCAATCAGAACTGCATTAATTCTTCATAGCATAACTTCAGTATGGTGTTGGACTCATTCCTAGGCATGGGCATCGTTTAGGTTTTATCCGATACCGGTGCCAAACCGGTACTTTTGAAACGGTGCCGGTGCTTAAACGGTGC